GACTCTTTTATAGTTTCTCTTTTCTCTCCTCTATCCTCTTCTTTCATCCCTTCCTCATTTATTTTCTTGTCTGCTTTCTGTAGTTCTTATAATAATAATAATAATAATAATAATAGTAATAATAATAATGACAATTATAATTATAATGATAGATTTACAAAGAGACTGGTATGAGAGCCTCAGTGATGGAATAGGTTATCAGCAAAACTGGCAGAATGATGCTAGATCACTGAGACCAACAGGAACTGTAGGAGACTTTAACAATATAGACACCAACCAACCATCAGGTATGCATGTGTATCAGTTGAATAACTGAAATAATGCATAAATTGAACTGGAAAAAAGAAAGAAATGACCTTTGTAATTATAATAATCATAGTGTACTTCCTGTTCACACTCCAGTTCACACCTCAAGGTGTTAACAAGGTGTCAAAAACAACTTGTAAAATTACAAAATATTTTAATATTATTTTTATGCTGCAGGAGGAGCAGATGCTGATGAGTTAAGTGCTACATACAATGAATACATGAGGAATTGGCATGAGGACTTAATTTTTTATGAGGAAGAGTTTTAAATCAAAAGAAATATAAAGACTTTAACATGATAATAGAGAGAAAGGATAAATATTTCAATTTTTATTGCATAAAATTACACTTACATTACATACACCTTGAAAAATACTTAACAATGTATAATGCTAGTTTTAATAATAACAATAATAATAATAATAATAACAATAAGTATTAATAAGTGTTAATCAATTCTTGCAGCAGCCTGATTGAGATGGCTGTGTGCTAGCAGGTGGAGGATTATCAAGTCGTATTGTAGAATCAGGCCGAGCTCTGCTACTTCCCCGTCGATTCTTCTCCGAACTATCCCCTCCACCTGGCGTAACACCTGACTTCTGCAGCTGTATGAGTACAATCCTCTCTATGTACTGGAAGAGGTCAGTCACCCCAGCCCCTGTCTTTGAGCTGGTTTCAAAGTAAGACTCATGGCTTTGAACTTTGACAAGGAACGTATTTGGGTTTGACCTCAGGGCTCTCTCCAGCTGTCTCTGGTGCTGACGGACTGCCAGGGACTTTCCTTCAGAGGAACCAATCTCTCTTCCTTTGCTGTTTATAAGGTCCAGTTTGGTTCCCACAACAACAGTAAAGCAGGTGGGGGCTTGTTCCTCAAGGAGTGGAATGAATACTTGTTCTAGTTTTTCTAAAGACGATTTCTTTGTAAGATCAATGGCCAGAATGGCCACATGAGCACCACGACAATAAAATGAACTTAAACTAGCATACTTCTCTTCACCAGCTGTATCCTGTGGGAAGGAGGAGCATTGATTGAGCATGACATCATCACATGATAGTCACATGGTCTCTTACCCAGAGTGCAATGTTCCATTCTCCCCATTTCTTCAGAGCCAATGAAGCACCAATACTCTAATGAAAATAAATAATTACTAGTAAATATTAACAACATTGACTAATGATTCCAATCGAGTTTACATGTTTTATGAATTTTAAAGTTACTTGAAAATTGGGCCAAAGTCCCTGTACTATAGTACATGGTCTTGGGCCAAATTTTGCCAAAAATGACTAGGAGAGAATTCTCAATTTTTATTACATTTCCTGATACATATACATGTATTTATGTTGCGTACAAAGTTTGAGTCAATTCTGATCAAGTTTGAATTTTTTATGAATTTTTAAAGTTGCTCAAAAATTGGGCCAAAGTCCCTGTACTATAGTACAGGGACTTTGGCCAAATTTTGTCAAAAATGAAAAGTAGAGAATTCTAAATTTTTATTACATTTTCTGATACATATACATGTACTTATGCTGTGTAGAAAGTTTGAGCTGATTTCAATCACGTTTAGATTTTTTATGAATTTTTAAAGTTACTCAAAAATCGGGTAAAAGTCCCTGTACTATAGTACATGGTCTCGGGCCAAATTTTGCTAAAAATGAAAAAGTGAGAATTCTCAATTTTAATAACATTTTCTAATACAATATTAACTTTTAGCACCTCCCACTATAGGGAATTGCATTTAATGGAAATGAAGACGATAAGAATAAACTGTCCAGCTATCCTTGGTGGGTGGAGTCATTCTTTGGGTGTGGCTCCCCTTAGCTCATTAAGGTGTTAATAACTTACAATACTTCAAACTACAACGAGCTCCACCCAACAACATTCAACAAGCGCAACTTCAATAAACGCTACTACTATTATTATTATTATTTTAATATTCCACTTGCAGTGTATCATACACTAGCAATAGGCTCTTACTGTGACTGTTTCAGCGAATTCCCCTGTCAGGTATCGTTGTATTAGGCAGGTCTTCCCGACGTTAGTGTCTCCAAGAATAATAACTTTAATGTCTCTAGGAGGAGAGAGAGCCATTACAGGAGAGAGGAAGAGGATGTACTTACGTCTTTGACTTTGCTGCTGATGCCATTTTTATTTAGAATAAGCCACGCCTATTTTAATTTAACCCTTTAATAAGCCACGCCTATTTAAAATGGCTACTGGTTACAAGCTAATGAGTGTCCCTGATAAAATACAACTTTCTACTGGACAAGAAGATGGAACTAAGCAACCTCAACACAGACAGATGAAAGTAACAGCAAGAGACTGAGAGAGAATCACTGTATCTATTATATAATAATAATTATTTTATTTTGTTTTACTGTGTTTGTCGTTTCAAGGTTCCTGACACTATTACGTTGGGTGGTAGTAGAGATGATATATCCTCTAGTCACGTGACAGGAAGGGGAGGGGTCGGAATATTGTCGTCTTCAGCCGAAGAGCAGTCGTGGGTCTAATAATTTAATAAATTAAATAATCAAACCATTAATAGTATACAACCAGAGGAGATCCCTTATGCTGGTTCAGTTGATATAAATCAAAGGTTAGAGTCACTGGAAGAACGAGTGAGGAAGATAGAAGAATGGGAGGGGCTAAGAAATATTGGCCACACCTCCTCTGGGGGGCCGGGGAAATTTTGGTATGCAGTGACGTTTTCAAGTTGGATGATGGTTCCACTGATTGTCGTGTTTTTAATGTATTACAAGAGACAATCCTGAAACATTTGACACATTAATGTTTAATAATAGTGTTCAATAGAAATGATATTAATTATGTTATTGGAAATAGTTTTTTAACATAAGGGTATCATTATACAAAAATTAGTGAGAAGAATACAAAATATATAATTATGAATATACACAGATACATGCAACAAGATATTGATAATTAACTTCTAAAAATAAACACTAGTCACTTGTGCATTATTACTATTATTATTATTATTATTATCATTATTATTATTATTATTATTATTATTATTATTATTATTATTATCATTATTATTATTATTATTAGTTTAGTATACAATAGTAGCTATAGAGGGTGCAGCATGAGCTCTTGTTATATGTTTGATATTTTTGTTAATATTATTCTGAAGGGAGGGAGAGAGGGGGGGAGGGAGAGAGAGAGGGGGGAGGGAGAGAGAGAGGGGGGAGGGATGGAGAGGGAGAGAGAAAAGTGAAAATGATTAAAGTAGATTCGACTCCCATTACCCAGTAGCTACTTACTCTTTATCAGGATCATTCTGTGTCTTTACTTTATAAGTTGGAGGTTTTTCCTTATTCACTTTAGCTAGTACCACAATGACAACTGCTATTATGATGGCTATTATAATCAATATGATTAGGAAAGCTGCAATTATACCTAGAGAAGAGAGAGAGAGAGAGAAGATAAAATATTATCAATTTTTATACACTAACCAATGATAGCTCCAGTATTCAGGCCACTCCCCCTTCCTGGTTCTCTAGTTGGCGGACTAACAACAATAGGAGGGGAACAGATCCTTCCCTCATCACTTGGTACAAGACTATTGGCACACGACGTACAGTTGTCTTTATAAGTACAAGAGGTACAGTCCTTCACACTGCAACTGACTATAAAGAGAAAGAAATTGTATCTATTTTTAGCAAATTACAGAAGTCTATTATTAGTAACAGTATAGGAGCCATTTTTTGAAAGAAACCATGGGCTATAGCCTTGGGTATTTTTCAAAAATTGGCCTGTTTTTAAAAATGGTCATAATTCAAAATTCTTTGCCGGAATCAACTCAAACTTTCTATGTAGCATAAGGACATCAATATGTACCAGAAAATGTAATAAAAATTTGGGGAGATTTCGGAGCCATTTTTTGGAAAAAACCATGGGCTATAGCCTTGGGTATTTTTCAAAAATCAGCCCATTTTTTAATGGTCATAACTCAAGAAATACAGGAATCAGCTATTATTAGTAACATTGTCTATTATTAGTAACGTACCACATGTCCCATTGACCAGTGAGTACTGGTCCTCACACTGGGTACAAGTGAATGAGGTGGGGTCACAGTCTCCAGTTACACAGTTCTCTCCAATGGTACATTGGTCACACAGTCCACCAGTCCATGGTCCTTCACAACGGCAGCTAAACCCGCCCACTTCATTATCACAAGAGCCACCGTTAAGACAAGGGCCATAAGGAGGATTAGTCTGACATTCATTAACATCATCATCACAGGTGGTTCCATTATATTGAGATGTACATGTACATATATACCTGTTGATACCATCAGTACACGTCCCTCCATTATTGCAAGGATTACCATCACACTCATTGATATTAACGTCACAGTTCTTTCCTGTAAAACCAGCTGCACAGGAACACGTGTATCCATTAATACCATCGCTACATGTGCCATTGACACAGGGGTCTGGATCACAATCATCAATATTGATAACACAATCGGGCCCAGTGTAGCCTAATGCACACACACATTCATAACCACCTGCTGTGTTGCTACATGAACCACCATTACGACAAACAGGGGAAGGAGAGGTAGTACACTCGTTAATGTCCTCTGTACATGTAGCACCTGTATAGCCTGACGTACATGTACATGAGCAGGAGGTGGAGTTTCGTACTCCGCCATTTTGACAAACTATGGAACAATCTAGAGAAGAGAGGGGAAGGGAAGTAAAGGTTGGTTTACCAAGAGGAAATATAACAAACAGTATAACATAAACCATAACATTATGAAAACAAGAAGACATATATGACTCATCTCTCTCTCCCTAGCTCACTTGAGCAGTCTGATCCAGTATAAAACTCGTCACATTGACATATAAAAGTTGAAGAGTTTGGATGTTGGTTTGATCCACATTCATTAGTGCAAGAGTTAGTGTCAATGGAATAGTAAGGACAGCAACCTGAATTGGTACAGTAAGTGGTACCAACACTGCAGTCTTGATAACAATCTAAAGGAAAGACCACATCAAGAGTATAATAATAATAATAATAATAATAAACAACAACAATAATAATAATAATAATAATAATAATAAACAACAACAACAACAATAATAATAATAATAATAATAAACAACAACAACAACAATAATAATAATAATAATAATAATAATAATAATAATAATAATAATAATAATAATAAACAATAATATAACCTGATGTATAATAAGCTGATGCACAATATAACTATGTATGAGTATTATTAGTATATCATTAGTATATCATTAGTATATCATTAGTATATCATTAGTATATTATACATGTACTTACCGACACAGTTTGTCAAAGGATCATAATTAGAGATCCCTAACCTACACCTCCTGCAGTTAACACGTTGAGTTGCGTTAAGTCTCGCAGCAAACTGAGTATCAGAAGGGAAGGCCAAGGATCCACTGAGAATCCACTCTCCACTGCTGCAGCTGGTATCAAGAGCAACCAGGTCTATTCCAAGGTCTGGAACGTGTACAGTTACATTAGCAATGATTGAAGAACTGGAAAAGGTTCCAAAACTACCGCCAGAAGCAGTACAGGTCACGTACCAGTGGTTAATGGACGTGTTGGCTGAGCCTCCTTCTCCTACCGGATAGTTTTGATTGACAATGCTCAGTACCATGGGCATCGTGATATTAGAACACTGCCCTCTCACTGAGGAGGAGAAGAGAAGGAATAAAAGAGAAAACAGGAGAGAGGTCATCTTTGTTTGTCCAGAATTATGACTCAGCTGCTGGTGATTGAGGTTTGTAGGCGTACGCGTAGCTTGAAGCCACGCCCAGTTAATAAAATGGTGTCATGAATATCATATTTAATATCAAAATTATTGATAAAGTTTTAGTTAAAATTATAATTTCTTCAGACCAGTTTGAAAAGAGAGACCATCTCCCTGTGTTGCAAGCTAGACAAAACAAACAAGCAAAATATAACAAACAAACAAATAAATAAATTAATTAATAAATAAATAAATTAATTAATACTTTATTAATTGCCTTGTGCCTGTCCCTACTAACAATCTCCTCAATAATCTCACCATCGCCTTTCACTAACCTGCAAATAAACAAATAAACAAATAAACAAACAAATAAACAAATAGGATCTGACCTGCTCCTACCAGTTTCAGGATCAACAACTCTTCTAACGACACTTTGTTGTTTAACATAATCAAACTGAGTCATGGGACCGTAGCTACGTCTAAAGTGAAGGAAATACTCTATATAATGTACAATAGCATCATGAGTCTTACAAGATGGGACACTATAAGACATATGTAATGTATCAGGAAATGTAATAAAAATTTAGAATTCTAAACTTTTCATTTTTGGTGAAATTTGGCCAAAGTCCCTGTACTATAGTACAGGGACTTTTACCCGATTTTGGAGCAACTTAAAAAATTCGTAAAAAATCCAAACTTGATCGGAATCAGCTCAAACTTTCTACACAGCATAACAACATGTATATGTATCAGAAAATGTAATAAAAATTTAGAATTTTAAACTTTTCATTTTTGGTGAAATTTGGCCAAAGTCCCTGTACTATAGTACAGGGACTTTTACCCGATTTTGGAGCAACTTAAAAAATTCGTAAAAAATCCAAACTTGATCGGAATCACCTCAAACTTTCTACACAACATAAGTACATGTATATACATCAGAAAATATAATAAAAATGGAGAATTCTCTACTTTTCATTTTTGGCAAAATTTGGCCAAAATTCCTGTACTACAGTACAGGGATTTTGGTCCAATTTTGAGGAAACTTTAATAGTTTGTAAAATAATTAAATTATATTTTACTTCAAAGGTGGATGAGTAGTTATTAAAGGAGTAGTGTCTATTGGAGGAGGAGGAGCTGAAGGAACAGGAGGAGCTGATAGTTGGATGGCATTGGACCAATCAAGGTTAGACTTGTTGTCTTTTGACTTCTTCTTCTTTGACTTCTTGTGCTTCTCTTTATTGTGCCTCTTGCTACTTTTAGAATGTTTTTTCTTTTTCTTTGCTTGAAATGACGTGAAACTAGAATCATCTTTGCCTTTTTCTTTCTTTCTCTTTTTCTTTTTCAAGATTACCCTCTGGCCTCCATCACTTGAAGACGACTCTTCACTTAAAGATGAATCCTTTTCTATTTTTCTTTTCCTTTTTCTCCTTTTCTCTCTCCTTTCTCCCTCAGACTCACTGCTGCTCAAGCTTGATGAAGAAGACATGCTAATTAAAATGGAGTGATATGGAAGGGTTAAAAACTTGACCTCACTTTAGGCAGCCATTTTGAAATGAGCATTAAATAGAATCATAATAAAATGGCGCCAGATAGGTAGCTCTGGAAAAGAGAAGAGAAAGACAGCAAGCGGAATGAGTAGAGGGCGCAGGAGAGGGTCAGGCCGTCCAGCATCTAATCTAGAAGGACTAGGAGTGCCTCCTGGAGAAAGGATACCGCCTCCATCACTAGAACCATCTCCTCTCTTCCCGCCATTAGACAAGAGGCCTCTAGACCTCACTGATAATGAACTATACGTTGAATTACTGGGAAAGAAATCCTCCCTGAGGGTAGCCATGCAAGATTCTGTATTCTATTTAAGAAAGAGCCAAAGAGACCACGAACTGAACATTGTCAGATATTCGGATAAATATAAGACCAAAGATGAAACGGACATCATGGAAATACTAGCCAGTACGCCGTCATGGCAACAAAGGTTACCTAAGGAACTGCATCCCAAAACAAAGAGGACAATAAAAAAGGCTCAAAGACACAAGAAAGCTTTAAAGCCAACCTCTGGTACCCAGTTTGGAACCAGCAAACTCAACATTGCTGATACAACCAGTCCTCCATTAGGAGATACCATCACTGTGGGTAGTATAGACCTGATCAACATTAGGGCTGGGTATACTGAGGGGGAGGAGGAGGTAGGGGAGGAGGAGGAGGAGGAGGTGTACGATGAGGAGGAGGAAGAGGAACAAGGAGATTATCAATTAAGTTACTTTGATCCAGGAGGGGATGATGTCATGATTGATGATGATGATGAAGAGGGCGGAGCTGGTGGAGAATATTATTAAATAATAATAATAATTTAATTGCAGAGATTTGTGTTTTATTATTTTATTTATTTCTAAAGAATCATAAACTAATGACAACATACGAACATGGTTAAAAGGAATAACAATATAATTCTGAGTATTCTGTCAGACCAAGAGATGAAGAGAAGGGAAGAGGTTCTTGTGTACATAATGTGAACTGTGTCATCTTAAGAGGGTGAAGACCTTAAGTCGGTGAAGACTCCATTTTATTCTCGGGATCCTTCTCCTCCTCCTCCTCCTCTTGGTCTTCGGCTACTTCTTCTCCGGTATCAGTTACTATGGTAACCGGTGGAGTCTCATACTCAATTATTTTATAAAATAATTTCATGTCACCGCCACTTTTCCAGACAGTATGACGGACAGTTCTCATGTCAAGAGAATTATCTAACAGCTAACGAGGGAGAGAGAGAGAGAGAGGTGGTATAATGAACTTAGTAGTATCATCATTACTTGTCCCTGACAGTATATCTCAATCTTATCTCTTGTCTCTTCATTCCCGTAGAGTTTTCCCTGAAGGTACTCCGTTACTTTACGTACAGTCAGTATATCCTGAGCCGACAGTCTGTCACTGTATGAATGAATGAATAGAGTTGTAACCCACACCCACAACCACGCCCACTCACGATTTGGCATTCTTTCCACTTGATTCTTTTGCTAATACAAAACTCATCTTGGGCTGTGGGGGCAACTGAGCCTATTAATATTAATAACTAATATTAATAACTATTAATAACTAGCCATACCCACCTGTACAACTATATCTGATATCCATAAAGGACAGAAGGTTTTCAAAAGGTTCTTCTCGTGATTATTAACGATACTGCTGACAGTAAATCGAACAAGAGTAGCTCCACAGTCAGTGGACTCTGATAATACCACTGGAGTGTGGGCGGGAACTGAGAAAAACTTAGTGTCCTAAATAAATATAAAACAAATAATAATAATAATAATAATAATAATAATAATAATAATAATAATAATAATAATAATGATAATAATGATGATAAATATTTGATCGTCGCCCCTCCCCTTACCACTTTACTAGCCGATCCACTCCCTTCAGATTTCGAACTAATGAGCATTTCTATAAATAAACAAATAAATAAATAAAAGATATGAGAGATCTTACTTTCCAGATTATGTGCAAGGTCATCATATTTCAAATTAACAAAAGCTTTATACAGCTGCTCAAGAGTTAGAGAATCATCTTGAAAACACTTAAAAACAAAATAATAATAATAATATCAATATTTATCAATTGATTATAAACATACCTCATACATTTGACTGTGTAAGTTACTTCTTGACATTTCTTCATTTTGTAATGAATTCAAATCAGGTTCACTTAGTCCTAACTCTCTGCCCAGTTCAATGGAGTCACTAACAGTTTCAACTGAAGATAAGAACATGCTCCTGGTCACTGGATCAAGGGGTAGAGTAAGGGGAGGAGTCAATAAAGAGTATGTCAGTTATTAATTACCAATGGTGGCTCTCATTTCCTCTAGTTTCTCTTGAGTCTCTTTCTGCTCTTGTTTCAATCCGTGGAACTCAGACCAGTTCTCAAAAAGAGCCTTTAACATCAGCGCTCCATAATTAACTGTAAAATAAAATAATACCGCCCATAATACTAACAGTAATTAATAATGTATAATAACATTAATAATGCAAAGTATCTGTGTGCTGGAGTGGGTTCTTACGCTTCAGGTCTGAGGTATTAGGAAGGTTGGTGTCATTCCCCATTACCCAAGCAGAGAAGCAATCACTTTCCTCCAACCGAATACTCAGCATCTGCACAACATAAGAACATGTATCAGTAAATGTAATAAAAATGGAGAATTCTCTACTTTCATTGTTGGTAAAATATTTTGGAGCAACTTTAAAAATTTCTAAAAAATCCAAACTTGATTGGAATCAGCTCAAACTTTCTACACAGCATAAGAACATGTATATGCATCAGGAAATGTAAAGAATTTGCTGTCCCTGTTATAATTTTATAACGTACTCCTGTTCTAATGTCACACGAGAACCAGTTTGGAACAAAAAGTGAGTTGAATCTTTGATCCTGTGATACCTCCTCCATATCAACCTTTCCCAACTCTTCAATAAGGACGGCCTGCCAGGATTATGAAATAAAGTACAGTAGCTTCAAATTTTAAATGACAACAAATTAATATTAATTTAAACAAGAAAGAAAGTTTTGACTGGTACAACTCTTACATGAAGGACGTCCCAAAGTGCTACGGTCCCTGTGTTGTCCTTGGTCAGTACCTCTCTTTTGTTATTGCAGATCTTACACTCAACGATAGTCTTACCTCCTACAGAAACAGGTTTTCAAAACCGGTCAGTCTGGTTTATAATACCTGGTATTGTTAGGAGAGGTCTGGAGTGAGAGATGTTGTGTTCCGTTTCTCCGTTACTATGACAACCAGACTCTTCGTCTTTATCCTCAGTACCAGTTCCATTAGTGCTTATCTCAGGGGGAGTGGCAGGCTATCATAATAACCATTAATAATTAATAATAATAATTGGTCCACTTTTATTAACTGTATAGTAAATTCATTAGCATTAATAATAATCCTCACCCATTTATTAACAGAGGTCCCTGTTGTACTGACCCAAAGTGACTCGATATTTTCAGTTTTATCAAGAGCTAGAGACAGGACTGATCTCTCCTCAGTACACAGGAGAATGCTGTCACGACTACCTGGAGGAGACACAGACTGTCACACCATTACTACTCAAGGATAACTACACATTTCTGTTGCACAAAAATTTGCAAATAGCGAGTAAGATTCTCTGCTTTTTTGTGAAAGCACTAACATACAAATTAAATTCAGCAAAATTATAGGAACCCTTGGGTCACAAAATTATAGGAACCCTTGGGCCACAATAATGTCTATCTATTTACATGTACATGCTATTACTGTCTGTCATGTCTGTCAGGTAGATATTCCTGTCCTTCCCTCCGGAATAAAAATACTTGAAACTATCATCAACTTCAAGAGCCCAGACTCCGCCTGTGTGTAGCCTAAAGGTTTCAATACAACGCTGCTGACCTATGGACCATAACCTAACGGTACCATCAGAACTGCCAGAGAGACACTGAAATAATAATAACAACAACAATAATAATAATAATAATAATAATAATATAGATATTTCTTCATTCTTCCTCACTTCAGTCCCATCTTCGTTGAGTATTACTGATCGTACATTATCAGTGTGACCCTTTAGCTTCATTAATTTATGATATGATCTGGTATCCCATACTTTAAGAGCCTGTTAAATAGTGGGTGTAGTCAACATACATTAATTAATGGGTGTGGCTAAGAGATACTAAGTGACTCACTTTTTCCGTTGATCCAGAGACCACTAGCGTCCCTTGTTTGTTAATGTCTACACTGTATACAGACTTCTTCTGCCCGTTCAACGGAATCGCTACAACAAAAAGAATGAACATACATAAAACATACATGATAATGTATAGCTGTGAATAAAAAATGAAAGATTAAATTCTTTTAGTGGATTCAATTGTAATGAATCCCAAGCAATGCCAAAGTGTAATTCTTTAAAATTATCCGACATTTCGACACACAGGTATCACTAGCTATACAGTGTTAAACACAGTTCCTTACTAGTGACGGTGTTTTTAGAAGCCGTGAGTGAAGTGAGAGCATTAATGTCCCACAGATAGAGCTCATGATCCAGTCCAGCACTGACCACGGTATCAGTGACTGGTGAGTAGGCCAGTGCTTGAATGTAGTCGCTGTGAGGTTTTAGGGTCGACGTACAGGATCCTCTGGATAGGTCCCAGACCTTCAGAGAGGTATCAGAGGAAGCAGACATCACTGGAATAAAGAATAATAATCATTAATAATAACTATTAATAATAACCGTTAATAATAACTATTAATAATAACTATTAATAATAACTGTTAATAATAACTATTAATAATAACCGTTAATAATAACTATTAATAACTCACGTATATTGCCTCCTTTACACAGTACCATGTCGTTGACCCACCCAGTGTGGTGTTCCAGTGTCAGGAAGCATTCCTATGGTAATGTATATGTACATCAGTACATGAACCTCTCCTACTCTTACTGCCTCTCCGTTAGTCTCGCTCAGTTCCTTGAGGTCCCAGGCCCTAATGATAGAGTCCCTACCAGCAGTGAGTACGAGATCACGTGACAAAGAGGAGGAGCTATCCACTAGTACCCTATTGACTCCTGACCTGTTCCTCGGCTCCCTCTCTTCTCTCAGAGTGTAAGTAACACACACTTTCTTCCTAGAAGAGCCTCCTCCCCCGTATCTAGTGTGAGAACTCATCTTCTCTCTCCCTTCTGCTCGCTTCTGCCTTTCTCAACAAGTTGCAAAGGCAGCCATGTTTTAATGGGCGTGACTAAAACAGTGTCACCACGCCCATTCAGTGGGTTTGGTTTATGAAGAAGGCGTGTCTGTTTACAAGTCGTGACTCGACTATTATCACTTCTCTTCTTCTCTTCTGTCATGAGTGGCTGTATTGATAAGATTAGTTGTAGTTGTGAGTGTTGCGATACTGAGCGGCTGAAGGAATGGCTGGCTCCTAAGAGAAATGCATTTGCCTCTACAATATCAGGAGGACTGGTAATTATACAGTAATATTATTAATTTTATTATTTAATATTACATATTTTGTTAGTTTGCAATTGGTTGGTGGCTAGTTATTGATAGCAGTGTGAATCATTCTGAGCCGATATACGCGGCATACTTTATGTGTGGGATCTTCTCAACGATAGCACTACTGATGTGAGTTTAATCACACGTACATGTACATGTATACTAATGATACTATGTACCACGTCCATTACTCCAGGATTAATTCAGTCTCCACTGGTCAGATAATGGGTGATACCTATACCGAGGGGTGTCTTGGTAGGCGTGGTAAGTGAGTGATTAGTAGGTGTGGTCATTCCCTCCCTCCTGTTAGCTGCCCGGGCCTGGCTATTCATTGGGTTCTTGTTTGCATTTGGAGGTCTCATCGGCTCACTCTGGATATTCATACAACAGTTCCTGGTCCCAGGTTAGTCAAGATCCTACTTTAAAAATACACATTCTTTCTTATTGCAGCTGTGCAGCATGGAGGAGGTCACAGTAGGAGAGATCTTGATCTTTTGGATTCAAATAATGTGACAGCCTCACCCTCACCAACTCCCAGTGGTCCTGAAGACTTTAACATGTATATATGGCAGGGAATATCATTCTTCATACAAAACCTACTGATATTTATTAGGTGGGTACTTTAAAAGTGTATTATTATTAATTTATTATTATTGTTGTTTAGTACACTTGTTTATAAGTTTGGAAGGACAGAGGAAGAGGATTCATCATGGTAATGAAAAGGATGACATTTTAATTATTACTGTTTTATTTTAATTATTGCTTCATCAAACTATAACAATAAATAAAGATGTGGTGTAACGTGTATTAATAATAATAATGATTATTATTATTATTATTGTTATTGTCATATTTTTCAGTTTATTATTATAAGTATATAGCCATGCACAAATCAATTTTGTTTAAATGTTAATATCAAAAAAAACAACCTGAACACACTCTAGTCTAATCAATACTGGATAAATGAGTTCTTTAATAATGATAACAACAACAACAATAATGATAATAATAATAACAAATATTACGTATGATAATAAGTCTGAGAGTTTCATTATATGAAGAGTTGGCATGTTTTTTAAAATGAGGGAAGGAGAGGGGGAAAGATAACATGTTAGTTGGGTGTGATGCTGCTGTCAGTAATAACAATGGCTGCATAAGGTTTAGATTGCTCCAGTTTTATTGCTCCTTCCTTAGCCAGGAGCAGACAACTATAGAATCTTGATGCAGCTTGCTTCCTGTTACACTTACGTGCTATGTCACTGAAATGGAGTGAGTCAGTCTGTTGGAATCCTTTCTCTAGCTGTCGTAGTACCTGCTGTGTCCGCTTGTTCCACTTCTTCTCTTCAACGACTGCTTCTGGCGTTTCAGTGGTGGGTGTTGCCTCAGTCTCAGCCTCCTCAAAGTCAGGAATATTGGGAACTACCCTAGAAATAGACTCATCTTCATCTTGGTCTTGCATTGGAGGCAAAAATGGGTTATCATCATTGCCATGGATCGGCTCCTCAATAGGAAGTGGACCAGCGTCCATATCAACAGGGGCACCCTCTCCCCCTCCTCCTATTATTGATGGGTTTTTCTCTCGCTGCATCTCAACAGTTTCATCCATCAAGGGCACTTCTGTGTCTGCTGGAAGAAGGTGCAGGTTTCTAGTTACAAGGGAAGAGAGAGGAGAGGAAGAGAGCCAGGTTGGATTCTGAAACAAGAAGTCATGTCCCTGTCCTAGTCTTGATAGCATCATCTTCTTAGTAGGAGGAGGGTAGGAGACTGTACGGAGAGTGTCAGAATAATCCATCAGTTGAGCCCTGATGATGTCACCTCGTAGCTCCTTCTCTTTATCAATGAGTAACTTTCTCTTCCTCTTTTGTCTTTGTTTATTCATTCCCTGGAGGGTAGCATCAACTGGTGGAAGGACAAAGTCTTTCTCTTCTCCTGTCGTCACCTCTTGTGCTGGAAGGATTGATTCAGTCTCCATTGGCTCTTGTTGTTGTTGTTCCTGAGCCACACCCTCTACAGAAGCTTCGGCTATACCGTCAAACTCTGCTTCATCTATATTTACAAGTCCTCCATGTCCAAATTCAGTGATATCATTTCTTTGTCGTTTTGGTTCTGCTGGTTCTATCCCACCAGACACCTCTGCTTGCTGCTGATGTGACGTGTCAGTGATGTTGGTCTCAGCTTCATCCCGTTGCATCTCAAATTCTTGCAACACTCCTCCAAACTCATCATTGTCAACAGCTCCCATTCCTTCAAAGTCATTGAGGGAGAGCATGTTATTCAAATTGGTCACGTCATCTTTTAGAGTGATGTCTTCAGCACGGCTCTGAAACTTGTCTTCTTGAAAGTCGGTGGCACTAAACAGTAATTGAACATAAATATATTGATAATTAATTAGTTTCTAATTAGCGCCCACCCCTTACCCCAAATCAGCTACAGCTGATTCCAAACTCTGGAGTATCTCAGGGAGAGTGATGGTATCACTAGTGGTCACACCTCCTTCACTGGGCAGGTCAACGGCACCTGGCCTAATAATATAAAATAAATTAATAATTATTAATTAATAATTAACGCAATTACATGTACATCTCAAAACCAAGTCACAGCCAAATGTAATCTTTGGCCGCTACTCTTTGGCCGCTACTTAATGGAAGTTTTCGTACCGAAATGCCATCTTTATTTTAGCACATGCCTCCCCTAGGTCCTGGATCAGATACTTTTGTTTCCGCGAGTAGATCCTGACTATACCCAACAGGAGGTGCCCTGAGGTACGTAGAGCCAACTTGACTCGAGGGGAGATGATGTCATCCACAGTTTTCTGAACATCAGTCTCAAACACCTGAGCCTTTGTGACCTTCTTCTCCCAATGGGCAGCCAGCCATACTTTGGCTAAAGGGCCTTTCTTTGATAGGACAAAAGTAGCATAAAACATGTCCTGAAGGGCTCGGAGAACTGAACTCTACAATAGGCTACTGCAATCTTCTCCCTTTTATTATAAAAATGACCAAAGAATACAATACCTCCTGCTGTGTGTCTCCCTCACTTTTGAAAACTATCTCTACTGCGCATGCGCCAACCCACGTGGAAGTTTAGAGCCGCCCTGCGCATAAAAGGTTGCATTGATCAATATATACTACACACAATAGCTACTGATTAAAGGAAAGAGAGCGCTACCAAGGACTAATGTCTCTAGGAGTTTCTTCTATAGGCTTCCTTGGAGCTGGTAAGATTGCATCAGCTTTGGCAAGGGGGTTCCTTGCAGCAGGACTGATCAGTAAAGACAGGATAACAGCTTCAGCTCCTTCAAGAAAAGACCTGGAAAAAATTGAGGTACATCACACAAATTCTAGCAATAGACTCTCTGTATTGTGTATGATTAGTTTAAGGGTATGCATGCATCCAGTAGTTCATGTGTAGGTGACTATCATACATGCATTGGTCAGCATTTTGTACTGATTAGTGATTAGTGATGATTACTCAGTCTGCATCGCTTCCAAATGAATGTTAACTTTGGCCAGGAGCTATAGTTTCAATTATGAATATGTTTTGGTTACAGGATCTAGGTATTAATGTGACTGAGAGCAATGAAGAGACTGCAAAGAACAGTGAAGTACTATTGGTAGCAGTGAAACCTCACGTAGTACCCAAAGTATTGAAAGAAGTGTCCCCTTGTATAACAAAGGATCACCTTATAGTATCAGTAGCAGCTGGAGTGACAATTGAAACAATAGAGAAGGTATAATGGACTAGCATATGTCACCATTGTGCTGCATGTTTATTAATAATCACCATTAAACAAAACCCATTCATACTAAGTCATAACTCATAACTAACTCAATCAGCTCTCTTTGTTTGTAGAATCTACCAGACAACACTAGAGTCATCAGGTGTATGCCCAACACACCAGTGGTGGTCAGGAATGGTGTCACCATTTACTCTCAAGGTACTGCAGTACAAGAAGGAGACAAGAACCTAGTCCATCAGCTACTGATGTCCGTCGGAATCTGCCATGAAATGGACGAGTATAT